TGATCTGATCAGGATTTTGGCAACTGTGACTAGAGAAAGACTTTACACGTCGTTCTTGAGATAGGCATCCAAAGCTTTGTGTAAGATGCTGCCCAAGTATCCGTTGTGCTCCGCTGCCCACTTTACCCACCTGCAGTAAGTTAAGAATACATTCTGGTTAAGAGACAAATAGAAATGCATGTGAATTAAAATAAATAAAAAAGTAAGTTGCTGACAAAACGGCATCGGATGGATGTCTGTTGACAAAGCCAGGCATCCCAGTGGTCCAAATGTCAGCAATCAGAATCCCTCCCCTGATATTTCCTCTCTCTGCAGACTTCAGATAGTACTTATAGGCTATATACTGTAGGACAGATAAATTTGTTATATTATGAGATATATTTGTTATTACCACTTACAGGACCCATGAAATATACGTTACAGTGGATGATGATGTTACGGTTGAGCTTACCTGGTTGGCAGGTTTTCCTGGATAAAGGCCCTGTGAGTAAATCACACCAAGATTGAAAGCTGCTTCTGGACACATGAGGAGATCGGCCTGTTCCCATAGCTGTATGGCCTGTTTGTAGTCCTTCTCAAAGTGCTCATAGTACCAAGCCAAGGCATTTATTGCAGGAACATGACCCTGTAGGACCGATTATTTTGAGAACCAGAATGAGATGCAAACTTAAAGTGGACTCCAGATGTTACAGCATAGATAACAAATACATCATAAAGAAGTTATTAACATTTAGCCACCTTATCCATTGCTTTCTTTAGGAATGTGACAGCTTTTGGAATGTTCTTTTCCACTCCATGTCCCTACAGAGAGAAACATTCATATATTACAAGTAGATGTGACTAAATGTTAACACAGGTGGAAGGAAAATGCTTTAGATTAAGATATTTGTCAATGTTGTTCCATATTGCATATCAAACACAAATCTGACCTGCAGAAGTACTATCCCATAGTCATACATTGACACTGGATCCTCCCACTGGACAGCTCCCCTTTCATAGTGTCTCACAGCCTTCAGGATGTTTGGAGTCACTCCTTGCTGGCCCCAGAATAGCATGCGGGCAATAGCTTGCTGTAAGAAAATTTTCAAAGTATTACTAAAATCTAAATGTTGAAATCCCCCCAGGAGTCGAGTTTTAAAAAAAAAAGTGATGCAGATCAACACCAGCAGAGTTTCCTTTGCCCATGCTCCACCTCTGTAGCCTCTGTAGTTCTTGCTAATGAACATCAGTGATTTTACTTCTGCTTTTGTCTTTGTGGAAGAACAATTATACCAACAGTTATATCAGCAGTTAGTCTTGTGACAAACCTGTTAACTCAGTCTTTGGCTTGATGAAATGTGAGAAGCATACTTGAAACAAAAGGGCAACAACAAAGTCAGTAGACTACCTCAGCCTCAGTTGCTCCCCTCCGGGCCTGATGTTTGAGCCATTGAAAGATGTGGTGGTTTTCATTGGTCTGGATATTCAACATCTTTTCATCGTTCACAAAAATAGCCTCAACTGTTGTCTAAAAAGGAGAAAAAAAAAGAGGAGACAAATGCTAAGGTTCAAAAATAAATTTGCTTTAAATTAAATGTTAACTAATTTTGATCACTGTAATAATTCCGCTTTCATTATACTGCTGCTTTTTTATGAACTGAAGAAACAAAGATACATTTATTGAGGACAGAAATCGAAAAACTGTAGCCATGATAAAAAGTAATCTAAATGTATTGGTAAAGCAGGTCATACATTGTATAAAAAAATTATTTATATAGAAAAAAACAATGGTTTCCAAACCTGCTGTGGTGAGGGATTGTGACGGTCTATAGTTGTCTGTTGAGCAATGTTAGCATAATAGGCATAGGCCAGATCATGATCCTTGGGCTGACCATGCAGTCCAAGGCGGTGCAGGTGCCCAAGATGCAGCAATGCCAATCGATCACCCTTTTGGGCACCCAGTAGGCCAAGGAGCCAAGCCTGCATCATACATTTAAACATGTGAGAATATATTGAAAAAAAGCTTTTAAAAAACAAATAACTAATTAAACTATAAATGACCTGATAAAACAGACCTTAAAAGGCTCTTTCTGGACTCCTAGGCCAGTACTGTAGAGCACAGATGACATGTGCAGAGCTCGGGTATCAGCTAAACAGCCAGCTTGGAGAAGCAGTGATAATACTTTGCTGACCACTTCCGTGCTTCTCGCTTTGCCCAGCTTATGGAGTGATAAGGAGTATAGTGCTCTGCCCAAATCATGCAGGCTAACTGCTCTTCCTTCTGCAAGGAACAAATTGAACTTTAATGTGTTTAATGACATGCAGAATCCAAAACTGCAGTTATTACAACTGCAGAAAAGCATCATTAATTCAGACCGCATTATATTTTAAAATGCCCTGGCAATTGAAAATATTATACTTCATCTCTCACCATGTTTTAAAACTAATAATTTGGCCAGTTTAGCGGCATGTCTTCTGCGAGGAGCAGCTGCTTCCCACGATGCACACTGTGGATTTGATGTTTGTCTGTGTTTTACCACCCACTTATGGAAAGCATGAGAGCAAGTTTCTGAAGAAAAGCAGCACAAACACATTACTCACAGTGTCATTATTTGAAAAGTTATTTTTTGCACCATCTAGTGTAAGTAAACCCTACTGCTGGTATTACCGGCTTCTGTCCTCTGCTGGATCTTGATTGAATAGCCACTGATCTTGACATTCATGTCAAAGCTAAATTCTTCACAAGTCTGCAGCCACCTGGTGAGATTTAAATTCTGTATAACATCTGGAACATAAAACTCAGACTGAAAAAGAAAGATATAATCAGACTTGAACACAGTGAACAGTTGAGTTGGATGTAGCTACAAGTATTAAGTAAGTACAGTATTACTAGAAGTACCATAATGTCAGACACTATTTGGTTCCGGTGGTATATCACTGGTCCAAAATAGCCTTTCACTCCTGGTATATACTTCCCTCCTCCAATCACAAAATATCCCTCTGTGTCATCAAACATGATAATAAATCTAAACCTGTAAAGCATGTTATACAGCAGAAGAGCACATAGTGTTATAGTACACCTCAAATGCATTTTCTTCCTCTGGGTAAAAACTGAATCATGATGTCACATTAGAAATAGACTTACATATATTCAGAAGTTTTAACTGTTCTCTGGTTGTTATCCAAGCATACCATATTGACAGCCACCTGAGATGCAATGACAATGAGCATGTTTTTTTCATTATGATGATGATGTGCATGATAAACGGTATGCTGTGTCAACAAAAGACTACTTACTGTTCTACCTTGCACCATCACAATAAGATTGCACCACACATTTAAAGGGACCTTGAATGAAGAGAGAAATGCAGAGGATTCCTGAGACTCTCCATTCATCTGGATGTGTAGGTGACCTGTGTTTAATGTGAATGAAGATGAGCCTTATGGAAGTCAAGATAATGCGATAAATAGAATATGTAAGAAAAATTAACTATACCTGACTTTGTGAGGAGTATTGCTGGTGTGATATAACTATTTTGGGAATTTATATGATGAAACACGCCACACAAGGCTTCCTGGCAGTGTCTGGTTACAAATATCCAGATGGAAAGAGTACACCTAGAAACCCCCCCATAAAAAAAGACTTGTTTAAATGACCTTAAATGGTAACTTCAATGACAGAATGGAAAACTAGCAGATATACTGTAAACAGTCTATCATACCATGGGAAAGAGATGGCTTTAACACGTAAATACTCCAGAACCTCATTCCTGTGGGGATTCAGTGTCTTTGTGATACCAAAGCTTTCTCCAGTTGAAGCATAGATTGAAGACAGCAAATGAAGCGTTTCTAAATGAAATTTGGAAGCCTACAATTTAGCATGGTTATTGCAAAGTTTAAAAAACGAGGACTGTGTGAGTTTTTTCATCTTTCTCTGAAATCTTTAAGATTCACAGAATATTGCTGTCAAATACGGTGAGAGAATGTTTTTTTTTCATAGCTTCACTTTAACTTCATATAGAGTTAACTTTTACTCGTACTTCTCCAACCTCACCTTGTTCCAAGGCACACTGTTTCTGGATAAACTGTTTAGTTAGCTGGAGCATTTGTGTGCCCCAGGCAATACAGAGCTGATGTTGTTTGACACGTCGACTTAAGTAGGGCTTAGGTTTCAAATTTGCCACATGTTGAGCTCTGACAGACTTCTCAGTATCATCATATCCAGTGTGTCTGACTGAGGCTCGAAGGATACAACTCAGCACCCACTGAGAGTCTGGAACAATCCCATCAGGTTGATACACCAACCAGTCTGGCAGATTCAGCTTCACAGTCCTTATTTTATTGACACCTGGGACACAGTTCCACTGTCTTAGCAGAAATGTGCTTATGGTGCCAGTTTCAAAGGATACAACACAGTCCAGCTGTACTGTAGCAGGTTCATCACAAGAGTAGAGTACTTGCAAAAGATGGTCTGGCAAAGCCTCCTCTGGAGGATTCAGGATTTTCACCTCATCTAAACCCCAAACAACCTGTATGTGACATAAGACAAGCATACATTTTCCTGAGAAGACTACACTAGAAGGAACCAGTGTATTAGTGAATTATTGATGAAGGCAAACCTTCTCCTACCTGCATCGTGAGGCAAAGCTGATAGATATATTTGTACAGTGTATGAAAATCCATTGCCCAAGCAATAATCTTGCTGCAGTGAAACAGAAGCATCAAGACCCGGATCTTATCCTGCTCTAACTCAGCTACTCTCCTAGGTAAATATTTGACAGCACAAAGCTCCACCCACTTACTATATACACCTCCGTGGAGCTCTCTGGATTTGGTTGCATTTCACTGCTGATAATATAACAAAAGGTAACCCAGTATCTTTCACCGTTTCCTGAATCTACATTTCACAACCTACATTTGAATTCTTGGTGCTGGTGCGAACTTTATAGTCAAATCTAAAAATTCAAAAAGAATCTACAGCAGGAAATCAAAGTGCTGTGTATTAGGAGAAGAAGCTCACCTTTCATTCAAAATAGTTTATTGCTTTCATGCAGGAGTGCCATCAAAGTTTAGACCACAACATTAGATGCAAAATGATTTTTTTCCCTGTACAAATATACTGTAGGTTTTCATAAATAGAAGCTCAAAATAAAGACAACGAGAAAAGTAGGGTGAAGGACTTAAGAGCTTAAGCTGATCCACTCTTTTAACCCAATATAGGTTTCGTTATGACAGTTGACATGCATCAACGTTATAGTGCATTATACCGGGAGCAGACAGACACACTCACACATTCAGATGGCATAATCAATTTACAGCTCTGTCGTGCAAAAAAGGTACAAATGACACTTTAAAAAAAGTACCAGTAGGAAATTGTTATTTTTTTTAAGCTCGTCTTATTTTTTTAAATAAAATATTTAAACGTGTCTTATAAATCCAAACCACCTGTTACATTATGAGGCTGGGGGAGACTTCTTGTGTCTTCTGCAGCACTTTTTGGTTGTTCGTTGGTCAGGAGCACCCTAAGTGTACTGGCGTCCCTACTACTTTAGTAATTACCTACAACTAGATGCATAGTTTTGTGCTCAAATGAAGCAATCAACATTAAAACTGGCACAAGGTTGTTTTTTTTTTTGTTGTACTTATCTGAGAATAATTATTTGTTACAAATGTAAACATACGGTACTGATACAGGATATACCCTCGGACATTCAGCATTTCATCTTTGAATATACATTACTGTATACATCATGCACTTTTGTCTTCTGTGCAAAAGGGGCTCAAGGTTTAGAACACACTACAAATACAAAGGCCTCTGACAGAAATCACAATTTGGCACTTCTACATGATTGACTTCCTGCCTCCATAAAACGTTAACCAGAAGTAGTTACAACTTTAAATTTTCAGTCTTGTACAGAGCAAAATACTTTCCTTAATTATAGCCCTTACCAACAACCAATCCTCACTGAAAAACTGCTGTGGATCTTTTAATGTCCACTAAAAAGACAAACAAAATAATAAAACTAAAAGACAGGACAGCATAGCCCAATCCACATTACGTGAAAATTGTGGGATCCTGGTTAACCTTCAAGGGGCTATTCTTACAAAACAAACCCAAAGGTGTACATTTTCTTATGCTATACAGGTGTAGAAAGCAAGCATCTCTAGCATTTTCTTTTCACAATGTGTATCCTAACTTTAAAATTAAATACCTAAAGATACCATTGCATTTCATGGCTGCCACTTCAAACATTTTGGTAATTTATTGCCTAATAATTTTTTTTTTCTATATACACCCTATTTTTAGTCTTCAAACACCTGATAACCGTATGGTTCAGTGAGGGTGTGCGTAAACCCCCAGTTTAATCAGTGATAGTCCTTAAGATAAGCTGGATACTTCAGCAAAGAGATAGAAGAGACATTCTTCACTCTCCCATTTTTCAAATGCACTAAAACTCAAAACCGCAAAAGGTCTGATGCTGGTCCTTTAGATACTTTGCAAGAATTTACCTCTAGGGTGCAATACAAATACATTTAGACCCAGCAGTTAATGCTGATACACTAGGACAGCTTATTAGGGCTGTTCTATGTGGAAAAAAGATAACTGATTAATATTCTGAGAAAAACATTAAAACCCTTAATAATTATTTTTATTTTATCTTTTTAAAAATGTGGTTTCTATTGCTAAACAGAAAATGGCCAAGTTGAGGCGTGATGCAAGAATAACTTTTACACAAAAGCATCTCATGCAAATCAGTATATTTCTTCTGAATAACCCAATAAACAGCTATACTTAATGTGATATTATGGGCTCCCAGATAGTTGCTGACTGCATCTGAATAATGTCAGTAGGAATAATAGAGGCAAAGCACCATCTAGTGTGATGAGATTGCTTTACAAAAAGAGGAACATTTTTATTTTTCTATATTTGTGACTTCAATGTGAGACTATAGTTTTTGGGGTTTTTTGCATTCATTTTAAAAAGAAATTTTCCACCTAAGACATCATAAAAGTTAGGATTTTTTCTTTTTCAGAGTATCACCCCCTCCCTGATCCTTTTTTATTATTTTTTTATTATTATTATTCCCTAGAATGGCCCTAAGAAGGCATCGTAATATACTGAGTTCAAATAGCAACACGCAACATTTGTTTTTACAGCCAAAGGTAATATACAGGAGCATTCTAATACATCTCTTGTATTTGAAGATCCCCTGAATGTGTCATTTTCTCCGCAAACAAGACATCAACAAAAAGAAAACAGACAAAGTGTACCCATCATTAAAAAGAAAATAGTCAGGAGTGCGCATTCACTTTGGACTTGTAGGTGTTGTGATAGTAATAAAAGAAACAAGTGTTGTCTAAGCAGGTTAACAACAAGAACCAAGCAAACACTTAGAGCATTCGAGTATCTGTCAAACAAAAGTGAAGACATGCAAAATGTTATAGATTGTAGAACAAGAAGGAAAAAAAGGAAACAACAAGTGGGAGACATATTTCCCTTTGACACTGGCACAAGTTCCTGCAGAATAAATAATACTTTACATTCCAATATACAAACCTGCCCATTCCCCACATACTCAACATTGACCAAGTGTAAGCAGATAAAGCTGGGTAAAACAGTCCACAGTCTCTCAAAGTAGGTGTTGTAACCTACAAAAAGATTCAATGACAAAAAATCTTGCCATCATGTGACCATTAATGAACCCCCAAAACTAGAAACTAAAAAAAACATAACAAAAACAGGTTAGACAGAGGAATACAGTCAGACAGCTTTGGTAGCCCATAGTTCATTTAGCTTTTATTTCCTCTGTTTTTTGAAGATCTTGAAGGTATGTTTCTTACGGCTGGCAGCTGAATCTGTGTCTTCTCCTGTTGAACCACTATCTTCCTCTAGAGGGCTCTTCTTGGAGGACAGCTGTGGGATGCGGCTGTTGGCTTTAGCTCCCACCACTCCTACCTGCCCTCCTGTTGGTGATGGTGTGTCAGGTTCAGTGGAGTTTGGGCTGAGTGAGCGAGATGACTCAGACAGACTGTTGATCTCTCCCAGGCTGTACACCTTCTTCATGAGTATGGGGCTGTCGGGACCTCCCTCATGAACACGGGTCCCTCCATTGGGGGTGTGAGCATGCAGTGAGACGGCATCATCTGCTCGGTTGGACAGGCCGTGCATGAGAGAAGTGGGCTTGATTAGGTGGCCTTTGGAGCTGTAGGCAGACAGTCGATCACCAACTTGTGAAAGGGACAAAGAGGAGTCTGAGTCGGAGCGATTTAGATCCCTGCAGGAAGAAAAATTCACAAGTTAGAGAAGGAAAAATCAGATCCAAGGAATGTTTAAAAGCAGCTTTGCATGCTTGAGTTTATCTACACTATGCCTTGAAAGTCACGGACACGCAGGGCACAGGCTGGATAGTGCGGCTCCACACTTGTTAGTTGAGCAGGCAAAGAACAGGAGGAACACTGAGAGGTTGAAAGAGAGTAAATGCAAAGTCTCTGTAATGGCTTAAAAACAGCAAAGGATGAGAAATTTTATAAAAGAAAAAAAAATTACAAAATAAAATGGAAACATAACAAAATGAATATACTAAGGGAAGTGTATCTACTCTACATGTGTTATCAAGGTAAAACCATGACAGGTGGTGTAAAAACACCCACGCACATGCAAAGTGTGTGGAGAATGGAGACAGATGGGTACCCGAAACTGTCGCTGCACGAGGAGTGCACTTTGGAGACATCTGAGAATGACAAATCAGGAATAGGATCCATGGGCTGGAAAGAAGCATGGTATGCATGGGAATGAGGGGTTGCACTGCCACCCACAAAGCTGGGTAAGCAGGAAGAAGATGAGGATAAGGATGATGACGACTGAGGAATTTGGCTGGAAGTAAAGATTATGGACGGGTGAGAAACGGCCGAGGAGAGGGGAGGCAGAGGGAGACAATCGAGCTGCCCAAACGAGTGGCTGCGTGAATGTCTGAAGGTAGCCCTAGGCCTCGAATGGTAGGGGGTTCCCTCGCCCTGCTGCCCTGCCAACAGGCAACTCTCTACCAACCTCTGGGAGCCCAGGGCCAGCTGGGGATCAATGTGGCGTTGGCGCAGAGACATCATACTGGGAGCTGTTGGCACAAAATAACAGCGGTAGTAACATTAACATAAAATAAATGGCTGATGGAAAAAGTGAGAACAATGAGAAAATTACTGAAAAGATGCTTTAGTCTTTGGAAACGTTACACATTATTAAATATAAAAATACACAAATTTTAGCCTCTTTACTCCACAATAGTGATGCATATCAGTAAAATCCCAACACTTGTTTAATCTTTCCATCTAATAAAAGGCAAATTATAAGAATATAATAAGTTTAAATAGGAAAAGATTGTTTCTTTAAAAAAGAAAAACAAATACAAAACAATAGTGGAGTAGAAAAAAGGGGTTTGTCTGGAGGAGGGGCAACATTTAGGAGGAGGATTTCAATACCAAGCAAGCAACTAAGGTCAGGTCAGGGGTGTTTTTAAATGAAGGCAGCATGGAGAAGGTTTTTTTTTATTTTTTTTTTTTATTACAGCTGGGTCCATCTGGAGCATACTGCCAGTTAAAATGTATGAAAACTCTTTTTAGGCAAAAGCGGAGATGGGAAGGTCAGACTGAGGACTGAAGTGGGGCATGAATAAATGGCCAACCAGGATATTTCCACACGGGCTGACAGTCTGAACCAATGGACCACAGGTCACTAGCTCGCCGTTCCAACAGTCGATTGCCATCTGTAGTTGGACCAATGAGACAGCAGTGGGAGCCAAATACCAGAGAAGTGGTGGAGGGAGAGAGGGGAGTGAGACAGGCAGTGTAATTAATGTTGATTAAACACTTGTTCACTTGTGCAGCAAATTGGAGCTCCAGTTACCTAAACCCATAACCTAACATATAAAGTCAAATATGATTTGAAACCGACATATGTATAAAAATGTATGAATTCTACAAGAACTGTAAGGTGTGTAAGAATTTGAGTTGTGTTTTTTGGTGTTCCTATCTTGGTCCTAAATAGGAATATAATTCTGGCAGTGACTACATCTGAAGTATTTCCTTTTTTGGCATCCTTCGAAAAAAACCAAAAAAAACTGATCCAACATATCTATAACACGTAACATGACACAAGCACTACAAATCGGTCAACACAAAAAATTGTTCTCTTTAAGAAGTATATTTTTCTTTGGGTTTCAGTTTCCAGAGGAAAATCATGGCAATCTTCAGTTTCAATAATTTACTGAATGAATTAAACAAATGTATCCAAAATAACAGTTAACAAAAAGGCAAGTGGTATCGTGTGTAAAACAACAAGACAATTATCTGAATTTACATAGTGTGAAGTGTAAAACACCATTCAATACTCATTTTCGACATGTCTAACCCCCACTACCGTCAGCACCATGGAGGCAACAATAATACATGTAGCATTAGGTCCAAATTGTCATGTGAGCTGATTTTTGGATTTCCCAAGCAGAGCCTTGGAGGAAGCTTTAGGGATTTTTTTGCTAATCCCCACTGAAAGGCTGAGCGTTTCGGAGGAACTCTTACATGGCAGAGTTCCGGGTACGATATCCTCGTCCATGTCGTCCATGTCGTCAGACATGATGAAGTGCTGAGGTGTAGCTCTGCCGCCCATGAAAGTGGGGTCGAGGTTGAGGGCCGAGGCCAGTGATGGGAGGCCTGGATTGTTGACGATGGTAAAACCCGTTAGAATCTCTATCTGCTGCCAGCGATGCAGCCTCTCTCGCAGAGCAGCGGTCACCTCGCCAAGGGCTTGTCTGCAAAAGATCAGAAGAAAGTATTTAAAAGAAAACTTTGCAAAGAGGAGAATGTATGAAATGTATGTATGAAATCATCTTTCCTCAGCTTTTATTTTTTAACAACATATCAACGCACAATTAAGAGTCTCTAACTTACTTGGCTGCTAATATTTTGTGGTCCACATCATCCAGGGAGGAGCTGTGAGCCACATGGAAAGTCCCAAAGAGAGTGTTCCTCTTTTTCTTTATCTTCTCTGCCTGCGAAAGCAAGTGACCAAGGACTTATCAAGGTAAGCAGGAGGAAGTGGAAAGTGGTGCCCAGGTTACAACAACTGACCAAATATTTAAGAACAGGAAAAGCTTCATGGGTAATGAATACAGAATTTGTGGAAGTTTACCATTTTTGGATATTAAATTATTAACATAAAGCTCTATCTTTATGATATTCTATTTGTTTAACATACACAAGGAAATGTATATATATTTTTCATGCTAACCCCTTCTTTGGCCACCAGGAGTTGCCGTTCGGCATTTTGCTTCTTGATGTTGTAGTACTGCACTTCCACCTCATGGGTGAGCTGCAGCCATTTCTGTAGAGACTCTGGTGGCGACCAGCTACTCCGTGACTCCAACTCCTTCTCTGCCTTCTTCAATGCCATGCGCACCTGCAACAAATTTCAACTATTAGCCATACTAGATGAGCACATAAGGAAAAATGGACCCACAATCTGCCAACAATTTTTAGCCTTTTCCATATCCACAAATAACCCAATCCCACACACTGAAAGCTCAGATGTAACCTCAAACCTGAATGAAGGTGTCTACGTAAATGGCCCCCCATTTTCAAACATGAATTTTGGACAATTTATGTAAAATCAAGTCTGAACATTTCCATAGTTGCCCCTTCTCAACTGCACACATCAGGAGAGTCTCGGCATCACGCAGGTTTGGCCACCATTTACCTGTTAATTACCTATATCCACGATTACCTGCACTATTGTTTAAATGGGTACAACTGGTACTACGCAGCAGGGGTTTCAAATCTAGTAAAGTTCAGGCTTGTATTTAATGAAAACAGCACATATATGGACTGTAGAAGCCCTGCTTAATCCCAAATTAGCAGGACAGACAAATGTGACAAAAGCATCAGAATTAGTGCACTGTGATAATCCTCCAAGCACAAACAGTTTCACTTATGTACGTGGGCTGAACTGTGCTGCTTCTGCCAAATTCCAAAGGACAAAGACTTGAGTGGGTGTATTTACACTATAGCTAGTGTGAATCTGAAAGACCTAAACATACTGTGCCGATGCCACCTTGGAAGTCTTCTTCTCTATTTACTCAAATTCACTGCTTCTACTTTGTGGACTACAGATTGCGTTTAAATGTAACTGATCAGACTGCAACCATTACCTGTTCGAGCTCTTCTTCTGCATACTTTTGGCGACTCAGCTCATTCTCTGTGCCTTCACGCAGCTCTCTCAATCGTTGGGCCTCCTGCTTAGCAGCGTTTATCTCATCCCTCAGCTTCTGCTCGAGATTTACCTTCTCTACTTCAACTGTTCGATGCTCCTCCTGGGCAATCTGCAACCTAAGGAAAAAAGGACCAAAGGTCATGCTCAATTTTTAGTCAGTGGCTGCTTACTAAGCCCAAGCAACTGAAGCCGTGTTGGAGCTATTGTTATTTTCTATGAACTATGGAGATGTGCTTAGGTTTGAGCAACCCTGGTCAAAATTTCTGTTACAGATTGTTGGCTGTCTAGCAGTCACTGCTCTTTTGTTGTCTAATCAAAAATTTTGGATTATATTTAAATCAGTGGATTGAGAGGGCCAAGGCAAAACATTCAGGTCGATCCTCTTGAGGTAGTCCATGGTGCATTTTTAGGGTATATTTAGGATCATTATCCGGTTGTATAATCCAGACTCTTGTCATCTTCAGCTTTTAGCAACAGACTGCTCCCAGAATAAACTGCCTTTATATTATTCAGCTATTTAGTACATTCCTCCCTCTATCAGTGAAAATGTTCCATGTACCACTGGCTGCAGCACAAGCCCAAAGCATGATCAATCAACCCTTGTACTAACAGTTGGAAAGTTCTTTTTGTGTAACTGTAGCACCCTTTCATCTCCAAACATACCTTTGCTCATCACAGCAAATAAGTTCTATTTTAATCTTATCCTTCAACCTCAGGATTAATTTCTAGACTTTATCAGGCTTGTTTAGAGGTTTATATGCATGGCTTTAATGCTGAATTTTGTGCTAAGCAAGCAGGATTTTGAAGACTGCACAGTGGAAAAAATGCACCATCAGTCTGCCAAGGATTTTTTTAGTCAAAGAGAAATTTTGATTTACCTTTCCAGCTATCCTAGTAGCATCAGTTTTTTTCAGTGTTCCAGACCTTAACTTGACCACCACCGATCCTGCTAAATACCATTTCTTAATTAGGTTAAATGCTTTGGCGTCTTCAAAAAAGGCTTTTCCTGCTTTCTGGGCAGTGCTCAGTGCTGCACCGGCTTAAAGGAGCCCTTGAGTGCTAGTTGTTATGACAAGTATTAGAGAGGCAGAGGATTTATAAAGCTTTGACGTTTGGTAAAAGGTACCTGGAATCAAATTTTAAATCTTTTGTGTTTCTTGTTCTTTTTTACTCAACAATTGCAAAACACATTAAGGAGATGGTTTTCTCTCTGACATTATTTCTTTTAGAAAGTTTATCTTGTGCTGAAATCAACAGAAATGTTTACTAGGGGTGCCTAGATTGCATGCCATAGTAGGCATTGCATCAGCCATGCATCACCAGAAACAGCTAACATGTAGAAGAGCAAAGGACTGTGGTCAGCTGCTAGGCAGCTCACAATAATCTGACATCAGAGGAAGCAGAGCCAAGAAGAGAACAGCTGTCAGGATTTAAGTTTAGAACAGTACAGTGTGGCACCCAGTGCTCCTGTAGAGTTCTGAACATGCAAGTGGTGGATATAATTAGACTAGCCTTTAAAACAAAAAAAAAAAAAAAGGGAAAAAAAAAGCCTTTGAAAGCGGGCTTGTCACCAATAACACGATTGTTTTCACTGAGACACACACCATTCCGATATACTCTCATCTGTAACCATTCAGGTCCAACTAAACCGGTGATGTGGTTACATTTATGCAGGACTTTGTAATATTTTTCAATTGAAAAATGTCACTGGGCTTGATAGCCTGATGAATATGACAAGTCCCAGAACTACAGTACTACATATACTGTGATACAACAAAATAAATGCTGTTGTTTTCAAATTTCTGTTTTGTTAAACATGTGGCACAAGGGCAGAACGTACAAACACATTTCAGTCACCAGGGAGCAGCACTTTCCCCCACTGAGGCTGAACACAACAGCAGAAGTAGTACACAAGCGCAGAGAATTGAAACTTGATCCAGACCATGAGCTATGGAAAATGTTGCTGGTGGGCAGTCCTGCTAATGCTTTCGACCCTGACCTCTGCCATTCTCTAGCTAAAATTTGAAAGCACTGGCTGAGTAACAGTGTCCACAGAGTAGATGCCAAATTCTGTTCCTGAATGAAATGACCTGAATTACAGAGCTTAAAGAATGCAGACACAATGTCTCTGCAGACTTTGCAGGTAATGTTACTGAATACACACTGATATTATAAGACATACGTAGCCTTATATGCCCAACCTTTAAGTTTTTTTCACATGCAATACAAGCTGTCCCTGTCACCTGTCCTTTTTCAGGCCTTTCATCTGCACACCACACCCAAATTCAAATGTGGGTGAATTGCATCAGCTGACATGTTTAACAGTCATGCTTAAAACACTCGCCCACCAGTGAAGGGGGAGGCCAGGTCAAAGAGTGTTGTAAAAGTCACCCAGGAAATCCAGCTCTCGTCACAACCTCCTTACACTGTCTCCCAACAGTGAAGCCATGTTTGGACCAGGCTACTTGACAGCATCGCAGGATCTGCTTAAAGGTATGGAAAGAGAGCAGCTGGCTGCAGGGATCAGTAGGAAACACACAACTAAAGACAGAGCACAAACCTCTCAAGCTGCTGATTTTTGTGTGGCGGTCTTATTGAAACAAGCATGCCTGAAAAACCTGCTGCCTGTCTGATAGCCTATTATACCAGAACCTGCATATTCTTTGGCATTCATATTGCCTCAGAAATGCACACAATACCCATGCTTGCACAGTAATGCAGCCCTATAATCCTCATGACCTCATACTATTGGTTTTGAAATGACTTGACTCAACAAAAGTATTTGATCCCGTGGTCTAGCCTTTTCTGTCATAGCATTTATTATGCTAGAAAAAGTCGCATGCAGTATTGCCAAAAATAGAACGCCCTTTTTGCATGCAGTCACACTTTTGCACAAGCCCGCATGCTTTTCCTGCCACTCTAACCCACAATCCTCTGAGCCAACTACACATAAAGCAAGAGGGTCAAAGCTCAAAGCACACCGATTTGAGGCAGCTGCAGTTCCCACTGAAGCTCTCAACTTGCATTTCAGATATTTTTAATTAAATAGAATTTAAATGACCTCTATGGCCAAAATGAACTGAGTTGAAGTTTAAAATGCAGCTGAACAAAACACTGCTGAATTGTAACAGGCAAATTTTACTGCAGTGCTGAACAAACAAGCATAATTCAGGGATCTGAGCAGTTCCTGTAAAGCACTATACTACTATCTGCAGACAGACAAACTACTAATAAGTATTACGCACAACCATGGTGCAGACTGTTTACTTGCATGGGATACTAAATAATGTCTGCACTTGCTGGCCTTTAATATTTACTTAAGGTTTGCCACTGTGATCTGTAGAGGAGAATTAACTATGCGTACTTAGCTTAGCAAAAAAAGGAAAGTCAAAATCCACTTCAAAGATGCTAGTGGCAGGTGTTTTACAAACAGTCAAAGTATAAATCCACAGAGTCAACACAAAGACTAACTTGGCAGCGTCAGAAGGACAGAATTTGACCTCACTGATTTGTCCCCATTTAAGCCATCAGTTGCACTGTTTGTTGGAATTCAGCAGGAAACTCCCACAAAACACTTTTCCCTCCACCTAGTGTACTGAAAGGAAAAGGAACTAACAAAGAACATGTCTGTTACAAAAATATGCTGATGCAGGAGATAAAGGTGCAACTGTAAAAAAAATCAAGAATCCATGACAGACACAAACATTAGTTTCAGTTCAGTCAGTAAGCACTGACAAAGCATAAAATGAATATTTCAAAAGCCTGTCTCTTGAACAGCCCATTTATCCCCCATTTAACATACAAACATTAACGTATGTGGGTAATAAGGGCAGTCAAAGAAAAATTTGCAACAAGAGTTCACCCCTCCCTTTGTTCTCAAGAATAAAGACAAGAATGTTACGCAGTTATGTGGCTCTTTCCAGTGGCCTGAGCTTATTACTTTTTTAAATTTACCTGAAGATGACCTCTCCCCCAGTGGATAAACTGTGTTAGAGATGCAAAACCATAAAATGGGAATCTCTTTGCACCTTCAAGCTCAAAAACCTTTGGTTCATGTATCACGTCAAAACTGAGTTCAAGTCTCCTTGAAAGGCAAAATAGGATATGCACTTCAAAGCACATTCTGAGCATTCCTTCAGGTATTAGCAGGACTAAAATAGTTAGATTAGCCTTTCTTTTATTCACCAATTCATGTAGCTTTACTTTAAAACACTGAAATTTCATCTCATTTCAAACCTTAAATCACAAGACAGGCTGGAATGATCCGATGGCCAAAAAACTCCTCAGAGTATGAAATATTTTGCATTATAAGATATAAGAAAGGGCAAAGTATAAAACGTGCGATTCAAAAGCTGTTTTTTAAAGAGTTCTAAAATTCTAAAAGGTTTAGCCCTGAGGTTTGGCCACCATTTTACAAATTCCTAAGATTTTTCTCTTCTAAAAGAAAAGTGTGATTTTGATCACTGGTACTTACAATGTGTACTTTTAAACAATTTGTCAGAGTATGGTCAGAAGTGATGGCTGGAGACTAAATTAAGAATTACCTTTACGACTACGCAGATATGGAGGCTATAAAACTGCAGCCAATGCTACCAGTAATAAGCAGTGTTTTAGTTTGTTAAATAAAGAAGTAAGCATGCCTTGATCACATGCATCTGCAGCCAGTTAATGTGTGACTTGCTGTGACATGCTCGTGTATGAAGCCAGAAAAATAAATAAAACAGCAGAAAAAAAACCCTCATGCAATCAGACAGCTTCACGAATGCATGAAGCAAACCTTCCACCATTGATCCAAAGACTTTGGCTTCACTAAATTAGTCACCTGCTTAAATCATATTTGAACATAAAAACGCTCCGTGGAATGGGTCCATAGAGGCCTGATGATAACTAAGTATAAACACATAAGTGCCCGGTGCTAGAGCAGGTCTGCCAGTCTTTTATAACGTAACAAAAGTTCCTATTTGAGAACAATGAATGCCATTAATCAAACCTTTCCCAGTATTGTGTGCAAACCTGGAAAAACTATATACAAATCCAAACAATCAAACCAGAAAAACATTGAAAGTTGACAGCAAAAGAACTAGGGAGTAACCCTGCAAACATGCTACAACGAGTCAGGCCGTTGCTTTGATTGTCATTCAAGGTTGGATATCAGCAGAATGTTCAAGTGGAAACTAAAAATCTTCTGTTCACTTGTGACCTCCACCAGAATCAGTAAATGTTGGAGGTTTACAGCTCAATAAGCTAATAAGCTACTAATGTCAGAAATAACCGTTTACAGCTGATTATTATAGCACACAGTTTAATGTATGAGTTATCCTCAGACAAGTGGATGATGAGTTTAAATGTATTAAAAGCTCAAAAGTTCTCATGTGAAGACAAAAATAACAGTTTCATATTAAATCTAAAATGAACGCCATGTGCAGAAAATACAATTAAATGCAATAGAGCTTGTGTTGGTGTTGGGAAAAACCCTCACTTCTTTTGTAGGTCATGCAGACTCTGCTCAGCTCTCTGCAGGCCCTCTAGGTCCTTCATCATCTTCTTCATATGGTCCTTAGAGTAGCGGTTCTGGATGTAGGCAAACCAGCATCCACCCATGCCTATGACTATTGACACGACCAGCATGAAGTCCTTCAAGTGGTTATGTCTATTCACTGAATGAAATAAAAAGACATGAGGTTACATTTTAGTAAGACAAGAAACTAAGTCATTAAGCAGGCCTATAGATGAGGAGATGCATTTTGGTCAGCAACATGTATTATAGGATAAAGCTGTTTAACAACACAGAAATTTTACAAGAATGTGGTGTGAAACTTGAATCTCATAGTCATATTGCAACTGCTGTGGAGTGACACAAATAGAAGGCTCACCAGCACAATTTCAGGTTGCGGTGAGAGGGACCCAGTGCAAAAGACCACGATAAAGACAGCTTAACACGACCTATTTTAATCTGGGGAAGATGTGAAGCTAAAGCTCAAACTTTAGCTGCAACTATAAGTATTCATTGACGTTATCACTGTGAGGGTTTTATAGATTTTCAGAGTCACAATAGCTTGAAATCAAGTATCCTACTTGTAAGAACACATCCCATATTCAGATCCCTTTACAACCACTAACAGAATAACTTAAAGTTAAACCCAAGCTGGGAACTAACAACAGATATTTGTCATTTGATGTGTCGAAGAAATAACATGTATGTAGCAGCTAGCGTAGTTTCTCAAAGTTTTGCAAGTTACACAAGTTTTTCTTGCAAAACCTGAGTAGGAGTATACAGGAAAGAACAGTATACTTCCTGGAGTGAGACAAAGGGAAGTAAAATGAATAGATCAGTAGATCGTGCCAGCTCGACAGACAGAACTTCTACAACACAAGCTGTAAATCTCAAGTACCTGTACAGCTCAAGTCTTATCAGTTCCACTGAATAAGTAAGAATAACAGGAATGCACTTTGCATACAATATATCCATATCTTTTTAGTCTGACCTGCATGTAGCCTTGGAGGGCAGAAACACAGTTTTTAAAATGAAGGCCAACACTGGACAATCCAGAAGTACAAGCCTGTAAGTTTTTTACCTATTCCAGGCCAAATATTTAGACCACCTGTCAGAATAAGACGAATAAACAGCAAGTTGTGGGCACTTGAGAACCATGCATAGTAACCACAGAATTTTAATCACTCTCTGCCCCTGCCATACATAGATAATGTACAGAATAACTCTTTTTACATTGATGTAAGAATAAAAGCACACAGATAGGTTTTTCACCTCGTTTTGATCAAAATGGGTCAATAACGTCTAGCTGACAGGCACCAGAAGAAAAACCTTATTTTGGTGGTCGCTCCTCCAATAATGTGACCTTGAGTAACAGATCTTTACCTCTTAAATGACCTGGAACACAATAACCCAAAATGAGTCATGCTTACTGAAATGCATGTCTAGTGCATCATAGTTATTCACTGAGCATAGACGCCAAAATGAAAAACAGGGCATTATCTCTGAGAATGCAATTTCCTGATGCCACTCCTCTGCTGGGCTATTTATTGTAGGCAATTTCCTTTTACATACAGTGAACAAAACATTCAATTTCTTTCAGGAATACCACCAAGAGCGCATCAAGTGACAGGTAATTAGCCACAGAACTGGAAATAACAGGACCCAAACGAGCTTGGGTTAATTATTACACAACTGTTGGCCAGATTAGGTGCAACCTTTTGTGCAGTGTGTCTTAAAATGCTGCTACGCTTCACAGTTGGTCAGTCTGGCTGTTAGTGGGACCCCCTGGTTTTGAGAGCTTGTCAAAGCCAGACAGCCCTTGCTAATGTCTTCCTGCGGGTGACTCTTACAAAACACATTCACAATGACACATGACAGACACACACCCCTTTCCTGTGTGTGTGTGTGTGTGTGTGTGTGTGTGTGTGTGTGTGTGTGTGTGTGCGCGCTTAAAGCAAATACCTGGTTCCACTGACTGTTTATTAGATTTTCTTTTTTTCTTTTTGACATCTCATAAACTCTTCTAAATACACACCTTTACTCTACTTTGAAATTCCTGGGAAATAATTCTCCAGTATCAAAACAATTTTTTTAAAAAAACATCTACACTGCTGACAGGACATATGATATCGAAGACAACCTATCCATTGTGATGTTACAAATCCCTAAGGAGCTAAAAAAAACTGAGAAACCCCTAAAGGATTACAATCTACAAGTGCAGAATTGGAGCAGAGATAGTGGAGAAGAAGAGGATGAGTGGAGTGTTTATTTGCCTCTGTACGCAGAGTGATGTGTCTGGAATACAGAGTAGTGTGGTCTAACAGTCTAAATCTTCCTGAGTCCCTGAAATTGATACAGGTGGTACAGGATTTCCTAAGCTTAAATGATAGCACTGGGTTGAATGAGCATACACCTTTCACAATTGTGGGTTATGTTGTTTATACTCGTACACTGTTGTGTCTGCGTTTTACTAACATGAGTCATGAGTGAAAGCCAATTAATCTTTAAGAATAGTTAAATTAACTGGAATTCAGAATGGGGAGAAGACTGTAGGACTTACAGAGTCTATACACAGATTGTTACACCTGTCAGAAGAAACAAACACAAGCTAAACTGGCAAATTATGAGTTACTGCTTCAGTCTAATGAGGAAGCTAGCCACAATTACAGTCTATTACATTATGTTTCACAGAGGTATAATCCTTCCACTAATCAATACGCCACATTTCATTACCAAAGAGTTATTGAGATCTGCTTTGCTGTGATGTGTAGCGTTTCTGGAAAGGTGCTATGGCATAGCTACAGTTAAGATTTAGTGCAGTACTATAAATCAAGCATTGCATAGACCTGGTGACTCTGGCCACAACACTTCACAGGGACAAAGAGCGAATGAAAATGAGAGCAGTAGACCAAATTGGGCAGGATGTTGGTCATGTTGGTAATGAAACTTATTTTCCAAAGTAAAACATTTGAACGCAAGAGATTCATATAATAGACTGTCTGCTGGGGAAGCCGTTTCTAAAAGTCAGACACGACTTGCAAAAAATAAAGTTACATACTCAGTGGTGCTCCAAAGAGTACGGTGTCCAACGATTTGAGCTGCAACTTTTGCACATGGCTTCGATCCAAAATCTTCAGAATAGAGAGTGTCAGAGTGGTGTTCTTTACAGCAAGCCTGAAAGAGACCAGACGTGCATTCATTTCGCAGGAAGAAAGCGGGGGACACACACACACACACACACACACACACACACACACAGACACATACACAACAAAGATTGTAATGCGATCACTTGACAAGTCCTTAATTCATCAAAGGTAAACTAAAGTAACCCATATCAAAATAAAACAGGTTAACAAAGACAGCCAATTTAATGACTTTAAAAAGTTGTATTAAGTACATAAAAATATCTCCACAGTAATAAGTAAACCAAGACACTTTATCACACACAGTGATGTGTAGGGTTCATAGATCGGTTCAGTTTGAAAAAAGAAAGAAAGGAAAATAAAGTCATGATGATGTCACACCTTGGCATGGCACTTCCATTGAAATTCATCTTGCGAAATGCATCCACATACTGTGGCAGCTCCACATAGTTGATGAGCCATTCCACCACCTTGTCCACTGTCCAATTATACACTGTTGGCAAAAAGAAGAAACAAAATATCCACTATAATTACAATTCTCAGTCTTTATTTTGCACCACATTAGTTGTTCCCAAAGCGACAATTATTTTTTCTGTAGCCCAAAATATAAACACTGAAAAAAATCCAATCAAACTACAGATAATGGATCAATTATTTACAATGAAAAGTATTTCCTTCAACTCTTATAACAACCTACAAACAATAAAAAAAATGTGACAGATACATTCTGCTGGTAAGACGAGTGTATTAGTAATAAGAGAGTGTAGCTGATTTATCGGTTGATCTTTGCTTCCACCCTCACCTATGAATATGAGTACTGGGTAGTGACCAAAAGAGTTAAACTGCGATGGAAATGAGCTTCCACCAGTGATTGGCCGACGCAACCTTAAAGAGAAAGTGAGGAGCTCGGCCATTCAGGAGGGGCTCGGAGTCAAACTTACTTCCCCACAGTAAGTCAGGAATCTATGGGCAGCTGACCAGCATGCCTTTCCAGACACCTACTAGGTGAGGTGTTCCATGCATGTGCTACTAGAAGGCGGCCCCGGGGCAGACCCAGGACACAAGAGAGATTAGATTTATGGTTTGGCTTGGGAATGCCTTGGTGTCCCTCTGGAAGAGGTGGAGGAGAAGAAAGTCTGGGCATCTTGGCACAGACTGCTGCCCCAGGATTAAGACCCAGATACATGACAGAAAATGGATGGATGGACATTCTGCTAACAAATATCATGATTGATATTTAAGACAACATCAGAACTTGAATCAGTCTTCACAGATAATAATCAATTGTAACTCAACAGGATTTCCTTTCTAAAACTTCCTGCTTCTAAATTAAAATACCCCATAAAAGCATGTCTGGCATTATAGCAGTGTTTGTCACTAGTGTTAGCTTTGAATACATATAAGACAAAGGATTTCTATAATCACAAATGTTCCAGATATAAAGACCAAATTACATGCCAGCTTGTCCTCCAGCCTCATTCGTTCTGTTTTTTTATTCATTTTATAATAGTAGAATTCATATTTATTCACGTTTCATAGAGAGAACTCAATAAATAGCTGCAGTATATTTTACTGTCTTGCTATTTTCTAACACAACTGTTTTAAAAGAGAAACTTTGACTGTAATCGTTCACTGTGTTTGAGGATGTTCAAGGAATCCTCCTTGTCAGTTAGATTGTTTTATTTCCTAAATGGATGATTCAGCTCATTCTCAGCCCTCTTCTCGTGTGGTGTTCCCCACAGGCCTTCCATTGGGCCATCCACAAATACAGTGCTAGCTTCCACTGTTATGCAGATGATACACAACTTCTAAAGATTCAAGGAATCATGTGGACAGCTGTAGCTTTCCAGCGACAAATTTAAGAGTCGTGTAGCACAACAGTTAGTCAAAGCAATCCAGAAAGGGAATTACACTTCCTTTCTCACGCCAGCAGTTGGTTAGATGACCTCGACTAGATAGAAAATGTTTCACTTGCTTAAAAACAGACTGAAGGCAAAAAAATATATAATTCTGAAACCAGAAATAATTAAAGCATGTTTGAATATAGGGCAGCAGAGATTCAAGAGGGAAGAAACCAAGTGTTTCCTGATGTCTGATTCATAGACCTCAGGCAGTCACAACATCTGAAACTAAGTATTAACTATTACTGTAGCAAAGGCTGGAGTAATTTAACCAATGTTCTCCTTTCTAGCTACACTGTAAAAACTTATCTGAGAAACAGCTGTAACCTCATAAACATCAATTCATTTCAAATCTAACACTTGCAGCTGAGAAAAAATGCATCACTATTGCAACTGCATAATACAGGTTGACACAAAATGCATTGTTTGACTGTGTGCATACACATCCTGAATGATCTACGAGATCCCCGCAGCATAACATGCTGACAGGAATAATTGGGGAAGGCAAATCTGATCCCCAGCACCTGGCAGAGAGTCAAAACTGTGAGTTGACTAAGTTAATACATTGCTCCCTTGTACAATAACCCTGTTTCCTTGCTCAGAACCTCTAAAACTTTGTCAAGAAACTGCAATGCAGAGTAAGTCAGTACTGTGAACAAAACTGTGGTAAAAGCAGTCAGAGGAAAGGGTGCTAAAAGGTGAGTGCCAGATACAGCACATGAAAGTGCTCTGAGTGAGTATAATAGAATACATTAGTATGGTTGGACAGAGTCAGAAAGAAGTGTGACTGAATTTTCTGCTGACAGCTTCAACGATCTTAACTCTGGGCCACTCTGGCAGAACAGTGCACTTTGCTGGGCATGCAATCTTATCAACTACTTTGTGCCTTTGTTAATTGAGTGAAAGGGTTAAGCATGGATAAGCTGTAACACACACTTTCAGTCAGAGGGAAGCACATAAACCTTTATTTACAGGCATATAAAAGCTCTGCCATTCTCTGACTGGTAATCAAAGTCACTAAGACTGCTTCATTAAAAATGAAAATCACTGCTACAATATCAAACATTAAGTAGTGTTTGGAGGTATCAAGTATGCAGAAAAAGGTTTACAACATACAACTCTACATAGAAATGGATGTGAAAGAAAGGCCCTTTTTGCAACAAAACTGTACCTTGAGAGCCCTTCCATGAATTCCACAAGTCCTCCACACTGATGAACTGGTCATCCCCATGGAAGCTGTTATGTTTGGCCTTAGGGTCATGGTAGTTTAAATCTTCTCTCAGGAACTGCAGTATGACAAAGACATTTGTAATGGCTACAAACAAAAACCTTTTACAAGACTTGCATGACAAAATAGCTACACTGTTAAAACATTTGTTTTACAACTGCAATTTCACCACTGAAACTGACAGTGCATTCAAAACATTGGCTAGCGTATTCTGACCAAACTTTGAGCACATCTTTAAGTCCTTAAAGTTGGCTTTGAAAGATGATACCTTTGTATATCAAACTTAGTTGCTTAATTGAAGTGGTGTGAACTTTGTAAGACAAAAATCAGACCCATTGTAATCGGTGCCATGTTCTCCAAACTATCTAAACAAATGTTGCTGCTAAAAGGGGCGAGTGACATCAAGAGTGAAAGGAAAGGGAGTGTCACCGTATATTACCTTGTTGATGTTGCTCCTACAATACAATATTGCTGTAGGGCAATCACTACAACTAAGGTATCGCCATGTTGTCATATGATAGCTTTGGAACTTGGAAAAAAAAATGCAAATGCATGGTTCACACCGAGAGTGAAAACGTTAAGTCACAAACCCCATATGAAGATGAGGCTGTGGGGAAAAAACGGTGAGCTCTCAGTTAGGGTTTGTTTACATTTAGGCAGTAAAAGTACTTGGCTATGTTTAGAACGATATCATGAGTTGTGTACAAAACATTAGCCATATAGTTTAAAAAAAAGCCTTTCAGACAGAACGCCATGAGGGCAAACTTCTCATGTTGCAAAGCTGTGACACCACAAAACATGATCACTTCTAATGAAACCATTACTACAAAGAGGTGCATTGCTTTGTGACAATGCGGAAAGACCACATTTGTAAATGGTGTTTAGGGTTTCTATTGATTGTGAGCACTGTGACCCATTTCACTGCTGTAATAGTTAATCCATCGTTTTAGTGCAATTAAATGCAACTCCTGTGGGATATATCCATTGCCTTCACTCGCTTAACATGAAATAAAACCTAATAAATACCTCACCAGGGATTTTCCCCTCATTATTTAATTGTGCAACACAGAATGCCATTCTCACTTTTGTTCAAAACTATTATACATTTAATCATAAAAACAGCTTTTTTTGTATTCCTTTTAGAATAAGACAGTGTCATGCTCACTAAACTGTACCAAAGACTGATCGTAATGTAAATTCCACTTGCACTCTCACTGAAATGGTAATTGTCCCTCACTTGCTTTTGGAACCACATTGCTGATTGCCCACTGTATTGTAGGCTAACCCACTCACCAGGTTTTTAAAAATGAACCCTACATAACATCTAGCACTCCCACAAAAGCAGAGTCATGGGTGAAAGACAGTAATAAGTCATGATGCCTTTCTTTCTTGATAGATTTGTGTGGGAAGATTTCACTACAGTGCAGCAAGATGTCTCTGCTGCAGGTGAAATACAGCACTCCCGAACATATTCAATGGAAAATTAGCAGGACCTGTATAATGTGACAGAGTCACCAAGGTTACTGTTAAGAGACCAGATGTACACTTTCATCTTGCTCGTAAAGAAAGCAACTCCCCACCTTATTTAATCACTGTATGATTAACAAGAAAAAGAGGGTTGTCTTGAAGTACTCTTCATCATCATTTTGAGCTTTCCATTTCTTGGCTAAAAGCCACTACACATACGATTGCTCACTGTGCTTCTCTTCATTATTTGCTTTAGGGGGGTTGCATGCCAAGTGCCCCTCTTAAAAGCAGTGATCGTGCCACCTGCTTTGATCTGGCCTCAGCTGCATAACACAGACTGAGCCCGAACCATACCTGAATCAAGTCACCAGAGGCGGCTTTCTCGAGGCCAAAACTTGTAGTTTACACTAAAGCTTACAGTGCAACATTGCACTACTGTACATATGCATATGTATTTTTTTTTCTGTTTTGCTTATAATTTATGCTATTGAGGAGAACTACTGTACTGTGCAGTATTACTCTACCATAAGCACAAAGCAGATTGTGGCTTCACAAATCCCCTTTGTGCTACATTTTTTTAAAGAAACTGCAGCATAATTGTCTACAAATCACATGCAAGTTACAACAGGATTTAGTGCAAGAAATACTCTCCCACACCACACCCATCTTCATACTAGGCCTTCATTTGCATGTGTTGTTTTAGGACCGTCTTTTCCATGGTTGTGATTCTACTGTAATGACAAAAGCTGTCAAGAGTATTCAAAAATACCTTTGATTCAACTCTGACAGGCAAGGGTAGAAAGAATGCCAGCTATGCTTTCTAAGCCAGTAAATACACCAGGTTAATTATTTGACAAGGGAAAAAGGTATATCAGCAAGAGCACTGGAGTGCAACAGGATGAACCTACCAGTTAGACAGTCATTTTCTGGCCACCTTTGGAGCAAAATCTACAAAATTTTAGATGACAGAGGGTTTAAAGTAACAGCATAGCCACTATATTAGGTACACTCATTCAACTAGGGCTGGGCCATATCATACCGTTCATGGTAATGCCGGTACAATGTTAGGCAACGATAAGAAAATAAAATATTGCGATAGAATATGGGTAAAACGTGCATGCGCAATGCTTTTGTTTTCATACGCACATGGCCGAAAAAGCATGGCGGCAACGGAGAATGAGAAGGGGGAAAGCGGATCGTTGAGTGAAACGGATGAACCAGAATTGGTTTGTAAAAATGCTGCAACTTCAGTGGTGTTTATGCAGAGCTACTGGTCCCATAGGCTCACCAAAATTGGACAGAAAAACCATGATAAGAAAACCTATGCCTGTTCTGATAAGTCGCAATTCCTACTGTGATTTAGATATTTGACTTTGTCAGAGACGATATGAAAGGATGGATCCATCCTACCTTGTATCAGTGGTTCAGGCTGCTGTTGGTGGTGTAATTGTGTGGGTGATCGTTTCTTGGCACAGTTTGTGGCCTTTAGTACCAACTGAGTGTAATTTATATGTCACAGCCTACCTAAGTATTGTTAATAGTACCTTTATAACCACAGTTTGCCCACATTCCAATGTGCAATGTCTGAAAGCTCAAATCCTCTCAAACTAGCATTTTGAGAATGACAATGAGTATATAAGGCTCCGAGCACTGTCAGCTTCAGCTCTAGTGAAGTGTGTCCAAGCCTTAGAACACTCCCTCACTAAGAGCAGGATCTCAGCTGGTTGTATCCCTGCCCCTCACTCACAGACTTCAGGAGAAAGAGCTCTCTTTTGAATTGTGAAGAGAGAAAGAAAGAAAAACCCCACCAAAGAAGGATGTCTTATTCTTAGAGCAAGTTAGAAACTGTGTCAGTGAGATAAAACACGAAAGATAACCCTTTGTATCAATATCACTTCACTTCTCCAACACAGAGGGCAGAATTGATATTGTTAGAGTATAGCAACACTTCAGTCTTGTTTAACTTAGAGGGCTTTTCAGGTTGTTACTTACGCCATCTGTCTCTACGACATCTACATTGCCGTTTGCATCATCATCCATCTGCTTATGGATATTACGGATAGCTTCAAAGGTGAGAAAGGCATTTTCATCCTTGCATAGTGGCTCATCAATGCGACAAAAATCTGGTGAAGAAACAGAAGTCATATCCACAAGTTGTTAAGTGACAAAGGTCCACGAATTCGTCGACTAATATTTAGTTTTTTCCTTATTCTACAATTACTAATTTACTTTTTACAATCACCAAAAATACCAAACAAACAAAAACAGACAAAAAAAGTACAACTGGATAAAGAGTAGATGTAACTATGCACAGATAAACAAAAAACATTTATATAACATTAGAGGTTTTTGTAAAAAATAATGTCTAAGATGTTCTTTTTTGGTTTTGGCACTTCATTTGTAACACTGCAACACTGTGATGCAATAAAGGCTAATAGCTTTTAATCTTGTGTGCACTTTCCTGCAGAAAAGACAGAAAACCTTCTCAATGTCCCCTGCTGAATTGGCTTCCCCACAGCACTCTCTTTAGCAAAGATAACTGAACTGCAACATTCCTTGGCTGCATAGGAAGGCTTGTTTATATAAGGCCTTTCACTTACTGCGGGCTGTTAAAAAGGCAGGTACTTTTGACTGTATCTGCTACACCTATGTGTAGACCAAAAACAGACCATTCACTGAACTGAATCGATGAGTGTAGAGGCATCATAATTTTAGATGTCATTGTAACTATTCTGTTTAATGTCAAGAAACTCAGGTTTGCTATTCTACAGGCTTTAGTATTGTATAAAAATATCCGTATGTAGGACTCTAATTATACAGAAATCAAAATGGACATCTCTTATGATGTCCCTGCGTGCCCACTGTTTTCCTGTGTCACTTTGCTTCCTGAGGGATTACTGATCCTCTGCTAGATATGAGATGATGACGCCACTCCCATTAAGAGGAAAACATTTTTGCATGTGTGCAGCAATGGCAGATTTAAGAGTGTGTGTGCATTCCTTGATTGAATGCAGCACGGTTCAGGTAAACTTACAAGAACAGTACTCATGAAAGCTTCATATTCTATTCATTTCAAATCTATCTTCTAAATCTATCTTGTATGAACTATATGCAGCTCTGATCTCAGGTATATCTCAGACACTATTTTAACCAATGAAGGGAATGACTAATATTACAAAACAACAAGTTTAGAAAACATAAGTAAGATTAAGAAGCATATATTAAAGCAGTAAGCTTTGCTACACAATTGACTAAATTTTAACCACAAAAGGAAACGATGAAGAAAAGAGTTAAAAGGGAAGCACGCCTTGCCTGCATGCCAACAAGAAATAGTGGTCAAGACTTCCTTTCTGGGTCTGAACTTGGATTTTTTACAGCAACAACATACTCCTGGAGAAACATTTTTATGGAACTTTTTAATCACACTACAGATTACTGACAAAAACCTTGATTCTAGGTTGAAAACTGAGCAGTGTTGACTATCAGGCAAGGATTCTTCTTTTTGTTGTACCATCTTTCCCATAACATGGTATAGCAGTATGCAAACATAACCTCACTTCCCCTTTCATAAATGAGCTCATGCGGCTTCATTAATCAATGACACCCACATTGTTTTTTTTGTTTTTTTCTCAACTATAACAGACTGCAGGCATTTGGCTTGCATTGTGCCGGAGGTTACAGTGTAATGCCCCCTCCTACTGATCAACACATCATACCAATCCATGTTTTGTTAATTCCCAGAACTGGATGTTTTGACATGCAGGCTTAGCAATTAAGGACAGAGAACAGAGAGTAAAAATGTCACAGATAAATACCTGAAATAATTTCTGTCCATGATATTGTGTCTGTAAGCCTATAAAACTTTTTTAACTTGCAAAGTGTACCTTATGGTCTACATGACAACACAAAAGATAGAAATAGGAAGGATAGTGTGGGTGAACTTCCGTGTAGTTATAAGTTCATTTGTGAGCATGCACGCTTTTAACTTTTAGCAAACTTGCAAAGCCACATACCACAAAGTGATTACTCACTTTCAACGTTAACACACTTTAGGTTAAACAAAAAAAAAAAAAAAAAAAAAAAAAGACAGTTATTCCAGTAAAAAGTCTACCACCTGTAACACTCTCAAACGCCAAACTTGGCCTTCTCTCTCTTTCTCATTTGGCTTGCAAACCTCCAGAGACACAAGATAAGATATTTGCATATATATATATATATTTTTTTAAAGAGCTCAGGTTACTCACGTCAATCTGTGAGCTTCCATTTAGATGAAGAATACACCCATAGCTTTTCCACCCCATAAATCCTTCTTCCACGGTCTCCCATGATAATTTAGAATACCAGTCAAGCTTTAAAAATCACTGTCACATCAAGAATAAATTATATGGCACACTGAAATTTTTAGGAGAAAAATACATTTGAAGTGCATCATCTCTACTAATGCGTGTAGACGATTTGGGCAGTTTCCCATTTCACTGCACTGTTCAATAATAAAAATGCAGAAATGATTAATTCAGTGGTACTGGTTTGCTATTCAAAAAAGTATAGAAACGATTTACAAGGTAAAAAAATAAAAATCCATTGTAATCCAATAAAAAAATCATTAAACTAGCAGACTTCTAAATAACAAGGTTATAATTGGCTGGTGCGCCTTTGTCTTTTGTGCTACAAGTAGTTGGAAAATAATTATTCTAATCTATTATTTACAGGAAATAAAATGCCTACATTCACCCAATAGTCATTCTTTCCACTAATGTTTTTTTTTTTTTTGATGAACTGCTTATTGTTTGACTCAGTGGCTAGATCGAAGTAGGAGGACAGGGCTTAATGGTAAATGCCAGCCAGACTATTCTCAGCATGGCTACATTTAGTGCCTGCACACAATCGCAATGTTGTGACACAGACTGCTGTCCTCAAACAGGCGGTATAGTGTGTGTCAAGAGGGATACAATTACATCTTTCACGGTTTGCTATAACAAATTATTGCCATGATTGATTACTCACCTCGCATTCCATTTTCAGCAAGCTGACTGTCCACCGGTGTAGGTGAACTTGGCTTTTCAGTCCAACTTTCTCCAACGAGACACAAACACAATATCCACAAGCTCAAGGATCTGTGGAGCTCCATGACTTGTGTACGCTGGAAATAAGATAAGAGTCCATCAAACACTCTGACAACTCTTGCATAACACATTCGGAGTGTAGTGGTGGTATATTACAACATATGACCGCTTTCCCAGGGACAGGGAACTATGTTAAGCAGCTTATAGCACACCAAGAAATGCTGTTACATAAAGCTCACTTCTCATGTGTGACTCTTCTTCCTGAACGAGCCATCGAACAGTCATTAGCTTACTAATACCTGGTTGTAGCTAAGGTAACCTTTAAGCCATTACTATGCTGGTTTAGTTGGTATGTGGCCTTTTTATCCCTATAATTCCCCAAAATATCACTTCAGGAAGAGAAGTAAAAAGATTATGAAAAAGTGACAGAAGTCTGGTCCGTCTCGTAGTTTGATGTCTAAAAAGGGCTTGGCGTGCTAGCTAGCTAGCTCGACATCTCCGTTAACTCGACAATTGGGTGTAATAGCCTCCAATGGAAAAAAAACAGTCTAACCCGCCTCATATAGACGCTTCTATAGTTTTCAGATGGAGGTGTTTATTTCACTGTCGACTTGCTGCATTTTCTACAGGCGCACATTAGCGACTGCTGACGTTTAGCTAACCACAAGAGAGAGCGCTACCGACGAGGGATTGTAGTTTTTAATCTAGGCTGGATGCTACTACAGGCACACCACAACACTGGATAAAGTTACCTGTCATGTATTGGAGCAAGCAGGTCTGTCTTTTCAGCTCTCTGTTAACATCGCAAGAGACGACTGGTCCCGCGTAGCTTAAGCACGGCGAACTCCACCTCCTGTGAGAGGTCTCGCTCTTCCACCGACCGAGAGACCGAACCGAAAAAGCCGCAGAATGTGGACAGACGTGAACTGTCTTCCTCTACAGTGCAAAGGCACTAGTACTCCCTCCTCCTCCGTATAGTCATCATCGGCTAATGTCGCCCCCTAGCGTTTGGAGTGTAGGCTATACTTGATCCAAGCGTCCAAGCTGAAGAGAGACATTAAGACATCGAGTATTTTTGCAATAATGAGGAAAAAAAATATTAGTCTCTTTATCACCTATTTTTTTTACTATAATAGAATATTATACAACATTTAAATCAGAATCAGAATCAGAATA